TCCATGTTTGCCAGCAGAGAGCCTGGTGTGTCTGTCTGGCTGGTAATGGGCCACCATGACAAAGTCTTCTGTGACGCTTAATGGTCTCTGGCTAGAGTATGTGGCTGACACAGGCCAGGGCTGACTGAGACTGTTCTTCCATCCAAGTGGCAACAGAGTGATGCCCTCGTGTGTCTACCGACTGAAACAGACAACATTAAACTGTGAATGATACGGAAAATTTACATCCCCAGCGTCCTGCCACAAACTGAGGTCTTCCTTTACAGCCAGTGTGTTTCATTCATTTCTACACTGTCGAACAACGCCAAGTACTAACAGCACTCAGGTTGGCTTTTATCCTCGTTGTGCCTCCCTGGTAGGCCAGTTTTCGATTACATATTCAACACACTGCCTTTGTCTTATCATCACTCAGTTTAAAGTTTCCACACAGCTGAGTTGTTCTGCATTTTGTCTTCCCTTTAACTGCCGTGGTGAAGTGAAGCGTGACATTCGCTGCTGTGAGTGAGATCGCTGTCAGGCGCCCAAGCTGAGATTTATATCACCACACGTTAACAGTGTAATTAAAAACTTTAAATAAACATAGTTCAAGAGTGTGCTGATAAAATGTAGTTTTCAGTTTACCCTTTTTTGATAGCCGACATTTATCAAAGAAAGAAGAAAAGAAAAAACATGTGCAGGGTAGAATCAGCTGCCTCTGTTAACGTATTAATCCTACTATTGCTCTCCTTACATTAAGTGAATGGATGCTGTGGAAATACTGTTTCTGCAGGTAGCTGTAAATATTTACAGTTATCAGACCAGCTAGTCCATGATGTCTGTAATGAAACGACGGCTTTCACAGCAGCCTCAGCAGGTGGATTGTGATCAGTGGTCGATGCCTGACTAGACCAGTCAAGGATGCTCAACTTCTTCATCCTCAAAAGCTCTTTGGTTGCTTCGACCACATGTTTCGATTGTTGTCTTCATGAATGAATGATAAAATGTGGTTAAATAAGTTTGAACATATTTGTCTGAATGTGAGCTTACAGAACTCTCCTGTATACACCGACAGTCATCCTGTTGCTTCTGTTTACAGGATCTCAGCTCCACTGGCAGCCATGCATGCCCGACCCAGAACAGGAACACCATCATATCAGACAGACGAGCAGGTGTTTTGGCTCATGAGCTGGGTTTTTTTCCACCTTGCTTTTTTTCTTCCATCACTTTAAAAGCAGTAGATTTTTTTGCATGTCCAGCCTTTGACATTGCTAATAGATTTTTGCTTTGTTTAGAGCCTCACTATTATCTTCTGCACTTGTTTGATCACCTCTTTATTCCTCATATGGACAAACAGCTCCTCGGTCTAAATGACAGCTCTGAATGGACTCTGAGCCAGACGGAGCTCTTTTGTTTGTGAACGAACACTGAAACAAAACAGAGCTGTCAAAGTAGCACCTAATAGCCAGTTTACTTTTGAACTCTTGCAATTTGCGACTTAATTGTTCAAAGGGCCACATATTGATGTAAACCCACTCACATTAAAGCTAAGACTCACCGCTTTAGCGCTGAATCCATTATTTTTAGTGGAACACAAAGCAATCCAACTACAGACACTCTGGACTTTACATTTCTCTTCTTTTCATAGAATTCTGTTTTAACTGTTTGGTTTGCATAATATACAGACTTAACATGGACACGACTGTGGTTTTGCAAAGTGAACTTGGTGAGGGCTCCACCAACTGAATGCTGAGTCTTTGTGCACAGATTGTTGAGTAAAACCAAGCTGAAGTTGACTCACTCTGTTCACTGGTGGCTGATCATTATATCACTGAACTTGATTTTTTATTATTTATTTTTTGGGCAATGTGAAAGTAGTAAACCAGTTTTATAAGAAGTAACATGAACATATTATCATAGTTACAGAGGCTACAGAGAACTCAGTAGCCAACAATAGCACATGCAGCAACATTAACGTTTTATATGACGCTGTGTTTGTCCGATATTCACTCCTTAAGCTGTGTTTTTGCTCTTTACCCACTCCTCCTTCCTGCTTCTTTAGCTGAGCCGTGGAGTTTGACTGAAGCTGGGTGTGAGATCAAGGCTACGGGATATCTCATCTAAAAACATATTTTGTGTGAACTGTGAAATCAAACACTGGCAAAGCCTCTAAAATAACACTTCAAAGAGACTGTGAAATAGTCGTTGAAATAAAATGTGTGAGGCTAATTAAAATTTTATCTGGAGGCCATATTTCATGAATTTCACTCATGTATGTCTCTTATTTTGTGTCTGTTGGTCCTGGTTTCGTGTGTAATTTAAGAGGATAAATAAGTAATTAACATGCCCCCAACAGAACTGGTAACACTGGAGTGTAGCAGCTGTGTTTAGCATGCCAGTTCACCAGGGTTGCTTTAAAGTCCATGAATCACACGTTATTTCAATGTGTCCTAAAAAGAACCAATTTTTGAAAATATAATCCCTGATATGTATGAATATATATGATATGAATATAGTCCCTGATTCACTGAGATAACGGACCAAAGAAGGTTGAAAGAAGGAATAAGCAGCGAACTGTCATCCATAAATCCATGCTGCTGGATAAGTTTAAATGGTTAATAGTTGCCATGTGGCAATAAATTTGTCACCCAAGCTGCCTCATAGGGCAAGATCACTCTGTTAATGCAGACCCATAATCATGAAGGTTGTGTGATTAGTAGGGGTGGAACGGTACACAACACGAAAGTCTCGGTTCGGTACGGAAGTCACGGTTTGGTTCTCAGTTAAGGGGAAAAAAAAAAACCTACTCAAATTTAAATTCAAAGCATTTGTTTGTTTTGTTCAACCTAAAGCTGTTAGCAGCTCAGTAAATCAAATTAAATGTACAATGTATACTGCTGCATGGTTTTCAACATCAAATAAACAAAATAAAATAAGTAAAAGTACAAGTGCAGCATTAACAATTCCAACTTATTGGTCTGCTGTAAATAGAACTGAATTACTTTTCCAGTATAAAAAGGAAGACACTGCTGCAAACTGCAAAAATAGCTGACGACCGCTTCACGATGTGGACATCCGGCTTTCGTCTTGTCGGCTTGTTTTTCTCCTTTTTCGGACTTCACCAGGAAACCGAGGTGATCCCAAACGGGTGGTTTTAATGTCACCGGAGCGTCTTCCAACTCTGGTTTCTTGTTGTTGTTGTTGTTGTTGTTAGCATGAGCCATCCCAATCACTAGCCACACAGACAGGAGAATAAACATCATGTGGTCCAATGGAAACTCCTATTTGTTTTCAGCTCCGCAACACTGCGCTACTATGAGCCAGAGAAGGTCCACCGCAACTGTGGGCACCATGAGATTTAAAGTTTCGCAATTGAAACAATTCTGTACATTGGCCATTTTTCATTGTCGTGGTACACATCTGCACCGAACCGTTCGGTACAAATACATGTATTGTTACACCCCGAGTTATTGGGCTTCTACCTTGAAAACATAAAAACAGTCGACTTACCATGCACCAAACATAGACTTAAATCTTTCTTTAGCAAAGTCTGACAAACACAGGCTGCTGTCAGATTGTCAAAAAGAACCTGTGAAGGTGTGTGATGGTGATGACAAACAGAACAATGAATAAAATGTCACAACAAGATAAAATGCATGAAGAGGGTGTCCTTAATCTTTTTTTTCACTCTGACTTTCTGTTTTATCTCATTCCAGACCACACCACAGCATGATTACATCTATTCACACTCCAGTATCTCCAGTGGGCGGATTGTGAGGACCAGTTGCCACTATGCGATGTGTGTAAGGGACCAGCGGTGGAGTTGTGGCCCCAGGCGGGATGCTGCTGACAGCTGGTCAGTATGACTCTGCTGGACTTGTGGCTGTCGCGCTCCATCCCCATGTGCCTGCTCCTTCAGAGCCTTGTTCTCATGGCCCTGTGCTTCCCTTCGGCCAGCATGTGTCCAAAGGGCTGCATGTGCCAACGCGACCCCCACCTCCACGGCCTCAACGTTACCTGCAGTCAGTCCCGTCTCAAAGAGATCCCCCCCAGCCTTCCGGTGGACACTGTCCTGCTGAGGCTGGACCACAACCAGATAGGGGCTGTCCCCGACCAAGCCTTCCATGGACTCAGGCTTTTGAGGGAGCTCAACCTCTCTTACAACGCGGTGGAAACTTTAGGGGAAGGTGCCTTCAGTGGCATAGAGGGGACTTTACAGGTGCTGGATCTCTCCCACAACCGCATCACTAGCGTACACAAGGATGCCTTTGCTCGGCTGAAGGCCCGCATCATTGTGGACGATAACCCCTGGCATTGTGACTGCGCCCTACAGCAGGCCATCGGAGGAATGGCTCACAACCACGAGGCTGCTGCCCGGGTTCTCTGCAGGAGCTCAGAGCTTCGTGATCAGGAGGGACGACCCTTCTTGGCTGTGGATACTGACCTCTGTAACCTGGCCAAAAGGACCACAGACTACGCTATGCTGGTGACCATGTTCGGATGGTTTGCCATGGTCATTTCATACGTAGTTTATTATGTACGTCAGAACCAGGAGGACGCCCGACGCCACCTGGAGTACCTCAAGTCTCTCCCCAGCAAGCCCAAGAAACCCGACGAGGCCGATGACATCAGCACTGTTGTCTGACAGCAGTGTCATCAGGACTGTGTCCACCACAAACCTAACGAACACCAAAATGTTTATGTAACAGGACCCACGTTTATAGTGTTTACTATTTAGAACTTTTAGGTGATGTGAGCATCAAGATCTTTGTATTTTGGAAACTTTGTCTTATGTCTTTATCAGGGTTTGTTCATGGCTGATCTGAGATGAGACGAGGAGGGAGGCCTCACTGACATTGTCTTTTCTATAAAAAAAAAAAAAATCTTATGGTGTTTTGAAAATTTAAATCTCAGGTTTAAATATTAACATGGTAATGTTTTTTTTAGACGACAATTTGGAATATCAGAAAAAATACTATTTATAAGACATGACACCCTATACTCCATTTCCCAAAGCACCCTTTTTGGAAATCTCAAAGCCCACAATGAGATGTATACGTAATCATTTTATGAACACTTGCAAAGCAAATGTTTTGAATTTTACATACCCCATAAATTCAAATTAAAATATATATGTACATTACAAGTTTCTGAAGAGAAATTCCATATTTATGAATCCATGGCATGCTAATGGAGACTATTTGATCCGTACATTGTTTGATATTGATTTGGCGTTCAGATATGGGATATAAACTAGTCTTATGTTTCAGCTGGACTTGGACCGTGTTAAATACAGACAGACCGTTTTCAGTGTCAGATAGACAAGATTTCTCTGAAACAAGTTTAGGAAACCATCTTACATCTGGATATGGACAGTACTGGATTCTATGGAGGCTTCTGCCTGAAAAAGGCCAAAACAAACAACAACAATAAAAAAAAAAAAAAAAGAAAAAAAATGGAAAACTAGATCAAAATTTTGTCTACGTTGGTTCATGCTGGAATTTAGACTCAGTAAAGCACAGCTTTGACCTACCAGTATTATTATTACATCGGCCATTCGGGACATGTCATTTATGTTTGTTTGTTTTTTTAGGCAGACAGTAATGGCTTTTTTTTTTTTTTTTGCAGATTTTGATTGGCCAGAGGGTGTACATTTTTTTGGATAATTCTGATGTAGCATCCCCGATGGCACATACATCAAACTCAAGGCCCGCGGGCCAAATCCGGCCTGTAACGTCATTGTGTGTGGCCCGCGAGATGTGTGTTTCCTAATCTGATAAATTTATGAGATTTACCTGATATAATGTTCTAATTTATGTTATGACAGAACAGCAATGTGTCTACACAGGGCCATTTTTGTGACCATTTCTGAGCGTGTGCGAGCTGAAGTTCCACGTTTACGCATTGTGCAAGTGAACGCTGATCATCAGGCTGCTCTGGTTCCTTCTGTCAGCACAGGTAGCTTCTGCTCCAGTTATTGTGGTTGGAAATAGTCGTATTTCTTCCACATTGACTCAGTCTCTCTCTGCCTGACGGGTAAAACAGTCAGTCTCACTGTTACTGTGTTCCGATGATAAAACGACACATAGCTGACCGTGTTTTTCTTTTTTTGAAGCGAAAAAGCAAAGTGACCGAGGGAGAGATCCGACACACCTGATGATAAAAGTGTTCAGGTGCAGGCAGACGGATCTCGACTGAGTGAGTTAAAAAGAAAAAGTAGCCCCACATTCAATCTGGAAGGCTCACATTTAAACAGCGATCACAGTTGTCACTATATAAACTGATGGCCAGTGGTCTGGACGTTTAGAATGCACTCAGCTTGTAGAAAAGTCTGTTCATTAAAAAACAAACAAAGAAAACCACTCTGCTAAAAACACTGCAAATAGAAAACTTCTCAACTTGGGCAAATTAGTGTAGAGCGTGCTTCACTGTTTTCTAACAAATCATTAGCTGGTGCGACCAATGAAGAAAGTTGGTAACACCAGTTGGTACCATTGGAGAAGTTAGTCTGGAGCCCTGCTACATGTGTTTTACTTCTAGGTAAAGGCATGAACAACAGTTGTACATATAATAAATACCAATCAAATGCAGAGACAATTATTAATCAGTATGTTAAGGAGTCAGTCTTACAAATACAACTGGCCCTTTGAGGGCAAACATAATGCTCATGTGGCCCAGGATGAAAATGAGTTTGACACCCCTGATCTATAGTGTTTTAAATTATTTCAGTTCTCACCAGTTATTCACTGGCTAATTTACGTCTGGCAAGGCTACAGGTTATCCCAGTTGCTGTACTAAATAATATACTGCTCTAAAATTTGTAAGAAAAAACAAACAAGCAAAAAAAAAAAAACAACCCAATACTTTTTTCTCAATCAAAGCAAATCATCACGGTGTAAGTTGGATAATGCGCTCTAACGTATTAGATACTATAAATACATTTGTTTAAAACAAGAAACCTTCATTGTTGTAATCACATGCAAACATAGCTCATTCAGTTTCCATATTCTGCTGCGAGATAAAGATGTGGATTCCTAAAAAGAGGACATGGTAGCTGCTTCATTTGTCAGTACCAAGACAACATACAGCTACACAACCAATCACTGCATCTTGATCACAGTTGGTCCTTCGCTAAACTGCATCTCTCCAACTGCAAAAATCCACAAAGAAGAACTTTGGAAGGATCACAATGTTACTTTGCTCACCCTTATCACCTTCAGTTAGCAAAAGCATTTAGACTTCATAAACTTTGCAAGCGATTATAGACAAGCAGCACAAGTTACCTTCACTGTGGAGCCTGTTGGTGTTGTGAGGCAAACACAGTTTAAGCTGCAACAAGTCCAAACAGTTCCTTCACATTTCTGGGTAAAACATTATGTGAGAGCTGATTGCCGTTCAAAGATAATGCAGCTAAGTTTAGTTTAAAAGATCATTGTGGGCATTTTAAATGATACGCTGTTGTCAAGTCTTAAAAATGCAACAAATGAATTTGGCTTTTTTTGGCTTTATTATAAAAAGCTTAATAACCATTTAACACTATTTATGAACCCAAACCTACTCCCTTATGTGTTACAAAAAAATAAATCACTTGGTGTGTAGTGATAACAGGGATATATGTCATTATAACATCTTGGTAAAACAGGCTCAGATGAGAGACCGAGAAAGCCGGTCCAAATGCACAGGTCAGACTGTGAGACACTATTTAACAACTTATCATCCACAAATACAGCAAGGTCATTATGTGTTATTGTACAGTAACGATGAACACGACTATTATCGGTGACAGGTTGTCCTGGAAAAACGTCAAATAACAATCTGTCTACGATTCTGTCCAAGAAAAGTTTTGCAGCTTATCAAAATTAATGTTTATTTAGACAAAACTGCGATGATAAGCTCTTTAGCCAACCACTAATTTAATGATGAATTCATCAGCTGTAGAGTTTTCTTTATTAAACACCAGTAAAACAGCATCTGTCATACAATGCAGAATTCCACATATCTGTAGCATTTAACCATCAGTTTATCGTTGCTATAGCATTTTGAGGTTCCCCCAATCTGTCGTAATGATTACACCAGTCTTCAGTGCTACCAAACAGCTGAAGTGCACAAACTGCAGGAGCCATTCTGCTGTGTCAACATGTGTTTACTTCATGTATGCAGTTCGTATCGTGTATCAGTCTCAATAAAGACCTTGAAAACTTTGGCATCAGATCGTAAATAAGGCTCTGCAAAAAAAACATTCATGTGCTGTTAATAAACAGTTTTAGGTATCGTTTATTTAGAAGAGACAGGATTTGATTCGATTTGATTCAATGGTGATCAAACAAGCAACTATTAGCAGATTCTGATTTAAACGTTGCTAAATCCTGATTGACGTTTGGAAATATGCGACCTCACCTTTTGCCAAACAAGCCTATCACATGACAGCCAGGACAGCCAGGACAGCCCATCACATGTGCAAAGAAAAGGTGATTGGAAAAATGCGTTTCCAGGGCCTTGAAATGCAGCAAGGTGCAGTTTATCCTTTGCCAAAACGACAAGCCGACCTTCACACCCACCTCACACTATGATTAGCATGTGGTGGGTGTGAATGTTGGTATGAATGTCTTCTTGGAGAGAGTGTCTGAAAATGTGAACTTTTATCCCCACATTTCACTGATATTGCATCTCACTGCTTTCTATGAGGGCTGGTTTTTCATCCACCCATCATCTGAAAGTGGTCATTCAAGCCAATTTGACACTTTTGATTTCCGATGCAGCTGGAGAGCACATTGCACAAGCTACTCCCATTCTCCTTTAATTTGGCCCTTTTTACGGTACAACCGGTGTTTTCTTTGCCTTCTTCTTCAGAATGTCATCCAACAAGCACAAACATAATGTTTATAGGAAACTGAATAAACTCCAATTTTAATCATTTCAGTTTAATTTATAGGACATTTATGCATCAAGACAGTGAGCAACAAGAAAATAGTGTCCAGCATAGCATCTGGTTTGAATGTAACGGAAACTACTGTATATCCTTAGTAATAGACTGTATGTCCCTGAATGTTTGTGGGTAGAGATAGTAGACATTCAATAGCATTTTAAATGGGGTCCCAACACTGAACCTAGAGTGAGCTAGACCCTGGGACAAAAATATGATTACTGGCCTTTTCTGGAGATTGTGACCATGTCCCACTCTTTATTGATGGATGGACTTTGTTCAGTTGTCTTTGAGTTCGCTAAACTGTCAGCATATCACCAACATATGAAACTTTAATCATTTTGTTAACAGTTGTTTCTAACGGTACTTTAAAAAATACCTCACCAGAACATCAGACCAGATCGCACAGTGCTAAATAATGTGGACCACGAGAAGAATTCCAGTGGGACTCATTTACCAGAGACACACAGGACAAACCATTCCACACCTTCAGATCTCTGCTGGTTCAGCCTAATGAAAGAACTTAACTGTATACATACCAAACAACAGATCAATGTCACTACATCAGTTACACCCCAAGAACCTGGGACACGAGTAAATCAGCAGCAAGTTGACAAGATCGCTGTCTGTGAACACAAGACAAAAATTGGTCATATGACTGTCTGTGAAGACATCACATACAGATGTTTTCAGCTTATTAAATGCTCATTATCAGCACATATCCTTCCCTTACATTTTAGCCAGTAAAGGATCTCTTCCATCCTCTAGTAGGTGCGTTATCATTCAGTCTGATCACTGATAAACAGAAAGTAGCCCTAATAACATTGGTGACCTCTGGTGGTCTTCTGAATGGGTAAAATCTGATGGAGAATTTAGATGCAAGGACAAAAATGGAGCTTTGGAAATGTAGCAACAGTGGATATTTTAACCCCAACCCTGATTCTTTCTAAATCTGCTAAAGTTGTTTTGGTGCTTAGACTGAACCAAACACAGTTAGCGAAGACAAAACAAGACTTAATAAATCAAAGTGTAGCTTAAAACTCAAGTCTCCTGGATGAAAGTCTGACTTACGCCTCCTTAATTTCCTTTAGCTTGTGGGTGTGGACGTTTGTCCCTATT